CAGTCCGTTCCTACATAATATCTGCTCTGCAAATTTCAGCCAACACTGCTCCAACTAAGCCTCCATCCAGAATCACAAGGCAGCTAGAGGTAGTGACTTATTTCGGTCACCATTATGCACTGCCATCCTACCTGATGTCAGCAGCTCACTAATGACGTCCTTCTGGAGAAGCTGATTAACAAGGGCCAGGGGGAAATAATTCATCAAGCAAAATGAAGACACCACACTCAACAGGTTTTCAGAAGAGATGTGGTGAAGACAACCAGTCACAGAACTAGCCATCACTTCTAGGAACTGTCTGGAAAACAAAGAAAAGTCAGTTTCCAAAAACTTGAAGACAAGGTCGTGGTGGGCTAGTTAGGTGCCATAGCACCAATATCTTTAAGGATTCCAAAGGAAAAAGTTAAGAAAATCAGGTTTGCAAATAGGCATCAATCCACACATCATTCAGGCCAGGTGGCTATCATAATAAGGGTACATATTCAATAAATGTTGGCTATTGCCGCATACCTTACAAAAGACAAATGTTTCATAAACTTTAACTAATTTAATTCCCATTACAATTCTATGGGTAATAATAATTATTATCATTTTCATTATCAAGATGAGTAAACAGGTTCAGAGAAGTTGAGTAACTTTTCTAAGAACACACAGCCACAGAAGTAGTGGTGACAGTATCAGAACCCAAGTTGTCAGGCTCCAGAGCCTTTTAATCATTATGCTAGATTTTCTATAAGGCCTAGGCCACCACTGTAGTTTTATAACCAATTAAAATTCTCTAGCTATCAGTACTCTGGGTTAAAAGAACTATGAGGAAGATTGGTTGAGTCCAAGAGTTTGAGGCTACAGTGAGCTATGACGTCACTGCACTCTAGCCTCAGCAACAGAGTGAGACCTTGTCTCAAATAAAAAAAAAAAGAACTGCAAGCCTAATCCTACCATCCAGAGCTAATGCTACACAGTATAACAAAGTAGTTAAGCACAAAGGAAGAAAAGATCAAAATTACGTGAGATCACTTGCCCAGAGTGACATCGCTAAGAAATGACACAGATAACCTCTGAACTCAAGTCAATCTGACTCTCAGGGCATATGCTGTATATCACTGTATAGGAAGAAATGAAACATATGCAAAGTACTGTCTTATTGCAGAGGTCAGAAAGTAGACAGTAGCTTTCGGGAGAAGGAGAATTTGAATAGGTGGAAAACATGGGAAAAGGGAAGAACATTCGAACGGAGCCCTAAAAGTGCTCGCTGTTTGCCTGATGATGAATAACTAGTGAGATGAAGGCCCTAAGCAGTAATTCTTATATCAGGGGCAAATGTGCCCAGAAGAAAGCCCTTAATAACAACGACACTGTAAAGGCAAATGTCGGAGATCAACTGGGAGGTCCCTGGGCAGGGACAGATGGGTCAAGGAGGAAGGGGGCTGTGGCAGCCTAGGAGAACTGTGCACGTTGCTAGGGGATGGGAAAAATGTAACAGATCCTGGAGAAAACAGGGAGGCAACACTTAAGAAATTGATTACTCATGGGCTTTAAGAGTATGCAACAGGACAGAAGGGCTGCAGATGAGGAAGCTGGAAGCCTGGCAGTGATCCCCTCTCTGATCTTCTCTTGCCCCACTCCTCACACTGTTAACTTGTGCTTCAGCAGCCCAAACTGCTGCTGTTCCCTGCACGTGCTTGCCATTGCTTTCCTCCAGCCTTGCGTATAGAGTGCCTTCCACGCGGAATGTTCTTCCTTGCTTATCTTCCCATGGTGAACTCCCATCTATCCATCCTTTCAGAGCAGCTCAGGCCCCACCTCCTCCGGGTAGCACTTTCCAGCATCCCTTGACCCTCCTCTTTGCCAGGCTGGCATCCTGGCACATCCCACCTCTATTTCTAAATATCCCAGATAAAACTCTATCACTCCAGTTTTTATGATATATTAATATTTAATTGCCAGTTTAGGTGTCTACCTTACCCATTACACAGAATCCTCTGGCAAGAAGAACTGTGTCTTATTTGTCTTTGTCTGAGTGCCCATGTGCTTGGTAAATGTTTGCTGACTAAATGAAGAGATAAACTTAGATGAGGAAGATAGGAGAAGGAGCTTGTCAGTAGAA